ATACTACGCCTCCAAATGAAAGGGGCATGTTTTGAGAATAGTGGGTAGATCCAGCCAGGCAGTGATTGAACGAATCAGGACAATGTCAAAAGTAACCGGTACAGTTGAGAGAAGTCTATGTGTGGCAAAAATTGTAGTCGCTATGATAGGCAGGTTAGTCAAGACATTACGGCCGTGGCATTAGCGCGGAGGATAAGATCGTCCTGATGTGAGCTAGTGAGGAGAGCCAACAGCCACATGCGATGAGAAACTCCGGCCTGTAACAAGGCCCAAACACCCAGTCCGAAGATGTGCGGATTTCCCTTCGGCGTGGTGCCTCTGAATGTTGCAGTAGAACCTAAGCATCAGCCCATAATCGCTTCGGTATCAAAGCATTGTCTCTGCCGTCATTCACAATCATGAACTCTTCTGGCGGTTGTTTTTGAATTCACTGCAACTAGTGAGCACTGCTGCTGTCACTTGTGGTTGTTGCGTTTAACATTGTCATGGAGACTCTGCAAGTTGAAATTGCCACTGGCGTTGTGAGTATGGCTCTGAAGAGGCCACAAGAATGGGAATCCCAATACACAGCTGGGAGCTTGCCAGTTTCTGACGAAGTTTGATGAGGTATCCCTTGTACTTGCCAGAAGATTACAGATGGATGCACTTTTAGTCATCACGAGGTTTGTCCTGGGGATCTGTTGCCTTACTCATTCCTCCTTTATACTGGGCTGTAGGGAGGTGCCTTGCTTTGCGAGGAATGTCAACATTGTGCATACTGTACCATCACCGCCAAAAAAGTCCCAATATCGTCCAATTTCATCCTGGGATACAGCCTGGAACCTGTACGAGCAGAGCTTCGCATGGTTCAGGTTAGGGCAATCAAAAAGTTGAAGCCGTCAGAAGTTTGGCCGTTAGACATTTGGCTTTCACGTTGCTTCTGCGTCATGCCTTGGAGAAGGCCTTCCTATATCAAAGTGACATGTTGGAGTGGAGTGCTCCGTATTGCCCGAGGGGCTATACAGCCGGAAAGGTATATGAATCGCCCGGTGGCTATCATGAGCACGATTATTTTGATTGACAGCATCCAGTGTTTTGCCGGACACAAAAATATTACGGTCTTCAGCATTGCGTATGACAAAGGCAGCAGTCTGTGCCGTTTCCCTTAGATGCAGTACTCCACCCCTGATCTTTGGCATAAATCTTGATTTGAGGGCTTGGGAAGCATGACGCTCTGCGATGGCGAACTAGAAAGATTATGGCTGAGCATAGTGATTTTTCCATAGACTTGATGGCCAGCCACAGCCAGCGAAGCAGTCCCATCTTCCTATGAACTCCTCTTCTGCTTCATCTTCACAACAGCAGCCAGCGCATCCTTGGCTTTGTTGTTCAGTAAGGTTTATCACCTTCTTGCTTCTTCTGAATCTCCTCCTACATTGCTATGACATGTTGAGTTGCGCATAAAAGTAATCTCAGCATGATCACGCGCAAAACAAACACTAGATCTCAACCTTTGGCATTGTCCAAAAAGGATTCAGATGGGCTAGCCGCGGAGTACAAGGAGATCACCAAAAGTTGGGGGTCCCTTTGGGACTCCACGCAAAAAGACCCGCAGTTGTTGTGCACGATTAAAAGGATCCGTATTTCGAAAATACCCACATCTGGCCACCTGTGTTTGCTGAGGGCGGGTAATTAAGGGTAACCATCCACAGCAGCAACATCATTTTTGTCAGAATGGTGTGCCGGTGCCTTGGCAATTTGGCTGGGAGGAATTTGTATATCTTCATGTAGCAGCAGATTTGGAGTTGTTGGTTCAAGTTCTTGGCAGGACTTCTCCACGAACGAAATCTTTAACGAGCGAGCTTCTTTAAAGTGGGGGCCGGCATGAGAGGGTTTCTTCCGCTTGAATGCGCTTTGAAGGTGACCTTTAGTGGGTTCAAGTCATTCAGCTTCATGGCGGGGCCCGAATTCGAAAGGCAGTGTCAATGCACGCTTTCATCCCACCTCCGTGATGCCACTCGCTGACAGCATGGCATGGCTGGTTTGCATAAAGCGAATGCTCAAACTAATGGTGATGATACGCCTGTTGATAATTGTACTGATGTGGCTGGTGATGGTGGTACTGGAAGTAATGGTGATCATGGCTGCTTGCAGTACCTGCTACGACATGCATCACCACCTTGCCTACGACTTGCAATTGCTACCATTTCTGATGCTGCTTGCTCTTTCTATTGGTGGCTATGGGAGTGATATTTTATTCTTGTGCTAGTACTGCTGGTAGTGGTTGCATCGGATTTGTTGCCCGCGCTGAGTCTACCTCTAGTGCAGCAGCAGCTGCTGCTGTTGATGTTGCTACTGAAATTTGTATCCTTTCATCACAGTTTCCAGCAGCACTCTGTATGAATGCCATGATGCTAATCTTTGTCGGTACGGTTGCAGCTTGTATTCAGGATTTGGATTGCATCTTCGTTTGCAGCGAGAGACACATCCGGAGGTCCTCGGAACTCGAGCACATTTCAACTGCAGGTAGGGCCTGGCAGCCTGGAGAAGGTGTGATGTAAACCTGCGTTATGACGGCCCAAGGAATTATGTGTAGACAAGCGTTTTCAACAGAGGTTGTGTTCACAAGGAAACCTCACCATGAAGTAGGGCAGATCTGCTGACATCGATTCTGAGTCATTCTTCGCCTTCTGACGTACTATTCCAAAGACGAGAAGATAAGAATCACACCAGCAACCCCCTTTTTGCGGATTTCACGGCGCTTGTTTGCCGACACCTGATATAAGCCCATGCACTGCAGATTAGCAAGTCCTCTGCTAGTCAGGTTCGGAAAATTGCACATGCGGGAGCTCCTTGGAGCAATAAGGACCACCGCAACCTAATTCCTACATACCCCTAGGCTTCATGAGTAGTTTCTGAATGTGCCACTAGCCACCTGAAGGCAAATCCAATACGCTGGAAGTACTAGGGGCACCCGTTACGAGAGACATCCCTCTGAGATCTGAGAGGCTTGCAAAGTAGGAAGAGACTATGGTTTTCTGGGCGCAACCGATTATGCAATTCTTCTCTCCAGAACCTGCTGCCGCAGTCTTGGGATTCTTTTTGGGATTCTCTCCACGTGACCCATCCATCTTCCGGAAAAGGTCCAGTCCTGAGTTGAGATATTCCATCCCGATGAATGTGACTGACACTCCGCTGCAATGCGGCCCTGTCTGCAGAGACCGTCCAGGTCAAATCTAAGTCAACCCCTACATGGCCCCACAAGTAGGGGTCGCGCCCAAGGATGCGTTCAGCCTAACGCAGCGGGGGCTCCCCTCTTGCTCCAAGTGATAACGCGGCAATGCCCTATAGTCTTTCAGAATTATTCTATAGATAACACTCGTGTTTGGAAATATGCCTACCTAGCTCTTGCCTTGATTTCTCGTCTCGGCTCGTCTGTTGCAGGTTTCTTCACATGACAGCATGTCAAGAAATATCATCATGAGACACCCTCATGACATTTCAACGGCCTAGGAGCTCGATCGGGGAGCCCCCCTGCCCTTTCCTCTTATACATACTGCTGGTTAGTAGGGAATGGATATGGCTCATACAATCGGCAAGAAGAAATGTTTCAGTCCTTCATGTAACCCTAACAACCAGTAAGTTCATGTTCTGCGCAGCGCTCGGCAGCTGCAAAGCTGCACACTTGGATGCTCAGAACTGTGGGTCCGTGTATCGGCCAATGTTCCGTGTTAGTGTTCCTCCTCTTATCCTTTTGGACGGCATACAGATTTGGGGAGCTTTATGTGGACCTTGATGTTCTGAGGTGTGGGTTATGTGAGTTATGTGGGATCATACAGTAGCCGGTTCCAGGAGCTGTAGAGTCACTGTCAAACAGCTACGCTCTAGCAATCTTTCCGCTAGAGTTCGGGGTGGAGAGATTTGTCAGCATTGTGCGTCTTTTCGTGGCAGAGGCTAGAAACAGGGCTGCCTTTTTTCGAGAGTACAGAGCATGCCAAGGTCCACCTGTGAGAAGCCGAATATATAAAGTTGCTGTTGAGATCAGGGATGTGGGTTTGCATTGTTGTAGCAGTTGTTCAAGTAATACCACGGGAGAAATGTACTCAACATGCAGATTCCCAGCCAGATATGGATGGCAAACTTGCGGGCTCTTAGGGATGTCCAGCCTTCTAGCTCATAGCCATAGCCCCTCAGCTTTCCAGTTTCGCCAAAAATCCAAACCTTGACCCCCTACATCCGATGCGAGAAACCTAAAAGCCTACGAGGCTCTGAAGGTTTACTCTTGCTGGCTTCGGCACAGCTCAGGCGTGCTGCTGTAAGCGAAGGACACCCGACAAAAGCATAGTGGTCCAACAGGGTCCACTTGTCACAGACATGGGGTATCGGTAACTTTCAGAGCAATGATTTTAAGATATGGTAACAGGGGTAGTGAAAGTACTCGCTGTTAAAGTAGCGCTGTTAAACAAGCAGCATCATGAAGGCTAGCCATGGCAGACGCTAGCTTTACGCTGGTCGGAAGCACTTGTCCCGGCGGTCATCTGCAAAAAGAGCGCCGCTAGCCATGGTTTCCATTCCTGTCTTTCAAATCCGGTGGCTAGGGCTTCCTTAAAATCAAGAAGGCAACTGCCGTGGAGTTGCTTAGAAGCAAAGAACCCCTCCCGTAGAGCAGTTGCCTCACTTCTGCCCGATACTACGACCAGTCTGGTATTGCCTGTTTTCACAAGACTGCCCGGAGTCAACAAAGCACCTGTTATCTTGTCAGCTTAGGATTTCGTCCAAGTGACGTCTCTTGTGCTTGGGTCTGCAGTTTCCATGGTCACCATTCACGTTTGGGTTGCTTTGAACGGTGCCGCCCTCGCAGATCGACATGTAGTTTCAATTCTGGTGAAGTTGGCAGGGTACGCAAGAATGAGAAGATCACCAACATGGGACCAGGTCCCGGGCAAACTCCACATCCACCTCCATCCCATGATTGGCACAATATACCACGCAATGCATTCCACAGGAATTCTGAAGCTGAGGTGGATATGTCTACCTTTCTGCGAAGGAGTAAGGCCAGAGCCTCATGATGACGGGCTTGCCGGAATGTGCAGTTAAGGATCTAGACAGTAAAGAATCTGCTCGAAACAGTGCTCATCGTGGCCCTGAATTGTCCTGCGTGTTCTTTTGTCAAGGCATGTAATGAAGCCGCGGCACCTGGAGCCGACGTAGTAGGTGCTGAGAGATGTAAAGACGTCCCCGACTTGCCAACAAGTTTGTCCCACTTGTTCCCTGAGTCGTGCCAGGTCACGCTTGCAGTTTTCGGTTGGTTGTAACTTATGGGACAGCCTACATGAGGACGCATAACCTGCTGCTTAGAGGCAGATGTAGACATGAGAAGCAGTCACTTGTTCAAGCAGAGCTGCATGTATTGTACGGAAGCCCTCGCCTCTTCCCACATTCACACCGCACAGCAGTAGTGCAGCAGCAGCATCAGGCAGCAAAGCCCACAGCGCTGTACTTGAGCTGGAAGAGATCGAAGAGATGTAACGAGGAAGGAAGCGAGGGCAGCTGTAAAACTCAAGTTTTATCCTCAGTGAGAGTCGGCTCAGCGTTGTTCTGCAAATGGCCTTGGCTGGCTACAGCCTAGAGTTCAGCAAGGGTGTTGGGTCATTCGCACATTAGTCCATACCGCGACAGTGGCTCATTGACTTGCACACTGCTGTCTGGGCTCAAGTTGTATGGGACGCTGGGCGACTTATCCTTTCCCGTGACCCGCAGCAACAGGAATTCGCTTTGGGTGTCCGTGGAACCGATGGCCATCGGTCAGGTGCCTGTGCAATTGATGTGCTCTGTGGCTGACGGCTTCAAGCTGCATATCAAGGATGTTGCTGGCCTCGGCATCCCTATGATGTCGATGGGCTTCTCAATGAAGATGAGCTTTCCCGTCCACGAGCTTCTCAACACGTTGGTGTCATGGCAAGAGCAGAAGACAGAGCCAGCCCCGAAGAAGCCTTCACAGAAAACATCCAAGGAAGCCGGTAGTAGCATGCCGGAAACCTTCAAAGCCGAAGTGGTTGAGGCTTCCGCTCTTCGGAGCTCTCCTGCCTATGCCGACTACAAGGCCCAAAATGGATGGGAACGCATCTCCTGCCCAAATGTCGTCGTGCTCAGTGATGTGATGAGGCTCAGAGAAGTACCTTTCGCTCCACTACAAGTTCCGGAGCGTGTGTCCATGACTTACGCAAAGATGAAGGGCTTGCAGCAATCAGAGTCAAACAAAGCCAGCAATCCGAGTGATCCATGCAATCTGGCAGACTCAGACCTTGGGAGGCCGAAGGCGTCTCCACCTTCCGAGAAGAAAGCACCACCCTTCGGCTGGCCCGTAGTCAAGGCTGTGCCGACTGAGCTGCCAGCCCCACCAGCTGTTCAGCATAAGGCCGCACCCGCTTGGAACATTTAGACGCTAGGCAGGGAAAAGCGCAAGTAAGAACCAGGTAACATCCTCTTACATTGCCTTTGATAGATAGCAGATAGCACTAGTGTTTCGATAGCGGTGTATACCTACCCAGCTTATACATCCTGAATGTCATGTAAGGGCAAAGGGCATCATAATGTATTGAGTCTTGTGGGCCTGCAGCTGGGGGCTGGAGCATGCTGCGGCATTGCTAAAGCTCGTGTGGGCTGTTTTTGACAACTGACGCCAAAAGAGTCCATCCAGGATTGCCGAACAAATGCAGTGAGAGAGGAAGGTTGCATGGTTTGAGTGTTGTTGTTGTTCGGGCTTTGGGGCAGAGTGTAGCTTCGATTTCTGGGTCCACCCTTTATGGACCTGCCTCCTAATCCTTAGGATGCGACCTGCCAGTTTGAAACCAATTCATGATCCATGCCCTCAGCTCCGCTTTCCCGGATACCAAGCATTCCTTGATCCTAGCTTATCCAACCCATGAGCCGAGGCTGATGAGACTCTCCCTCAAGCTAGACTCTGGATTTGGCATGCTTTCGGGAGTCCTTTGGATTAACACTGTTCAGCTGCTGTTGTGCCCCATGGCCGAGGTCGATATCAAGCAAGTCGGAAACTTCCTGGGAGAGGCGGATGGGATTCAGAGCCTCAACATTATTTGACTGTCGCCCGCATCTTCCCGACCATGACATGAACACATGCAATTCAACTGTGCAAGTTACGTTGGAAAAAACCCTTGTTAGGAGCGCGTGCGTGGTTTTTAGATCTTTGTTGTTGTGTGGGGATTTCTCAGAAAATCCTTCCTTGGAGACATAGCCGGGTATTTGCGAAAGCAGCGCAGAAACCTCCGGATCGATTTTGTGTTTTTGATTCATCCCTCCTGCCAGGGTCCACACTCAAGCACACTGCGTGCTCCAATGTTAAGCACTCCAATCACTTCCTTATGGCGACATGCAGGGCCATTCCATACCATGCCATGAGGAGGGAGTGGTCAAACAAATCTTGAAGAAGCCCCCCAATGGCTGTTCCTCAACCTCAAAGCCCTTGAACCCTACACCCGAAGCTTGTCCTTGTGAAGGAAAGCCTGCTGGCAGACCTACTGCAGTCATTTGGAAGTGGTATCCCTCTATACTTCTCATGGGATTCTCTAGAAAGGGTCCCCATAGTGCTTCGTATACAACTCCTCATAATTGTCCCTGTAGCCCAGGTAGACATGTATATGTGTATATATATATACACACACACATTTTTATACCTCTCAAAAACATTTTTTGAACTTCTGCCCCTACTGTACAAGCTTACCGTCAGGCCTTCTCACTGTCCCACACGATCCGCCTAGAGTTCCTGAATTCAGTTGCCTATGGCTCAGAGACAACTTAGGGGAAGGGTGGTTCACTAGCTCATGGTGACACAGGTCTTGGAATTTTCTTGTTTCGTATTGAAGCCCACAAAGGAAAATGTCGGGCTATCAATTTTTTTATGTTGTCCCCAGAAGCAGCCAGTTCAGGGAATGCTGCTAACCTCTGACTGCTTCTCTTCGTCATGGATTTAGGGACATGTATCTTGAGAGTGGTTCCTAAACTGTTGGTCTTGGGGTTGCTGTAGCGAAGAACTAAAGAGAATCAGTACCATTTGTCATCGTCCTTATTGTGCTTGGTTACTCTATTCATATTTGCACAGCTGTGAGTATGGCTCTTCTTGCTGTTGCTCTCAGGAAAGGAATATTTCTGAGTTCTCTCGAGTCTTGCAAAGGCAGAATGTAGCTTTGGAACTTTGGAATCGTTCTCTTTCAAAAAGTTTCACGGACCCATTTGAGACAGCGGAACTTTGGGAGTCTTAGGATTCAGGATTGGGCTCATGTCCATGGGTTGGGGACCGAGCCGCGTGCTTCATCTTTGGTGCCCTGTGGGGATTTGGCCGTGCTTGCATAAGATAGCCATACTGCGATTGGAGCATTGTCACCTTGCCTGGTGCCTACGAGAGATTCAACGAAGCCTGCTTTTGCTGACGGGGCATAAGCGAAATAAGCATCACCGCACAGCCTGTTTGTTGGATCACTCAGCGCCCCGATGCGCAGACCGTACATCCAAGCGATGCTGTTTCCGCAAGAATCGTCATGCACATTCCCGGTGAAGCATACATGTTGGAGAAATGAAAAGCGTTTTCTGTGTTGGAGAATTTTTCTTTCAAGTTTAGGGCCACATGCATTCGTTCCGTGTTGCATGCGTGGTTTTCCAAGGCGTTCAGAAAACTTTTCTTCTTGCAAATCCTGAGCCTCACATCCTGAGCTGCTTCCACAAAGGTGTTGCAGAACACCGGGGTCGTCTCTGCGTTGATCCAGGCTACCTTGCTATGATTTTTGACAGTGCCATGTCCTCTCATGTGGGGACGGGAGGGGGTCCTCCCTTTCTTGCGTGGAAGGCTTGCAAGATGTTCTTGGCAGGTTTTTCACATGCTTCAGCTTCCGGACGACCTGTCATTGCCGGCTTGTTTTGTAAACGGTCGATGATTCTAAGCAGGATGTGTGCAAGGGTTTGCTAGGTCTTTGCCTAAGGTCTGATAGTCTGAAGGGTGGGTCGTGAAAAAAGAGTCGCCTGCAGGCGAGCATCGCATTGTATGTGGAGATTCTGATTCTGTGAGGTTTCTAGTTTGAGCAAGGAGGGCACGATCGGAGGCAGGCTCAGGTTCTTTGTGCGGCTTCAGCGGCGGCAGATGGTGCTGGCAACCCCAAGTCTAGAAGCAGCGCTCGGCAACGAGAATGCATTGGAGTAGCTTTTTTCATGAGCGTGTAGTGAGGACTATCAAGACTGAGACCGATGTCGAGGAGCTGTAGGTTTTTTGCAGAGGTTATGCGGACCTGCCAGGCAGAAAATCAATCGCCTTGTGCATGGCGTGGCAAGGATATGGTGGAGGCGCGGAAGTTGGAGACGTGACGTGAATGCCAGGCTTTGAGCATATGCCTTGCGCCTGACCCCTTCTGAGCAGGCAACACGAGCGGATGCAGCGCGAAAGCTCGGGCGTGGCAGCCTCACTGCAAGGGTGGCTTCTGCAGTTGGGGACATGGAGTTTGGGGTATGGAGTGAGAGGGCTTGCAGCTGCTACTGCTCTTACTACCACTACTACTCCTCCTCTTGCTGCTGCTGCTGCTGCTGGTGCTGCTGCTACGCCGCTACGCATTACGATGAGGAATTGGCCTTGTTACAAGGCTGCGGCTCCACGGAAGCCCCTTCAGGAGAACGGCTCCATGCAGCTGAACCTCTCCCAGGCTCCCTGGAAGGAGGTGACAGTTGGTCATGTTGAGGGCGATGCCTTAAGGCCCCCGTGTTTGCAGTGGATCCATGTTGCGAGGGTTGAGTTTTGTTTTTAGGGTGGCGAGCCTTAGCACGACCCTAAAGTGGCATCAAATGATGGTAAACAGCCTCGACTCCAAGCAGAAGCAAAGTCCTTGCTGGATTTCTTTGCCGCATAGGCTCCTGCAGGTCATCTGCTGAACTTGTTGCAAGCCTCAGAAACGCTCGTTTCAGGACCACACGAAGGCTCTGCCATCGCGGAAGGTCTTCCTCGCATGCCGTAAAAACGAGTTCTTCCACACATGTATCATCATTTGAAAAGTGTTCTCAGAGCATCTGAGAGCATAAGCATCGGGTAGCATCAGCAATGAGCGCTTTTCTAAGGTCCGAACAACGGGGGGCCCCAGCCTGTCTCCTGGGCGCTCACTACGGGCCCTTAATTGGGCTCATAGGGCTTTAGGAGGTAAAGACTGGGCATATGAGGACGCCAGAACTAAGGGCCCACACTAGGGGCCGTAGTTCCAATCTTTTAACTTGTTTCAACTTTTCGGTGGCCGATGCTGCAAGCATAGTACGCCAAACATTGCTTCAATGACAAGATGTGATACAAGATCGCCAAAAGCAAGCTCCAAACACAGCGACAAACATTTCAAAGCCAAGGCTGGGGAACTGAAACAAACCCCATCTCGGACAAGTACACTCCATCACAAAACAACGGCATCAGCCCAAAGGAATCTCCAAGGAGGCTTGCCAGCATGAAGCTTAACGTCCGCAAAAAGCAGAGGTCCACTTCTCCCCGCACGATAGTTTTTCCGGAGCTCTGAACAAAGACCAGAAGCACACAAGCTCATGATGATCTGTGGGCAGGAACTGAGTGGCCTCGAGCTGAAGCAGTACCTGTCAGGCTCTGACGTCTTGCACCAGGCGCACTTCAGGGGCTGTTTCGGTCAAGCATGTTGAGGCATGAAATAAACATCTTTCTTCGGCCTTGAACATCATGTGAGTTGATTGTTTGTGCTCCTCACCTGGAAGGGGCTGACCTCCTGAACTGGGCCGATGAGAAATCAGTAAACCCCGGCGCAGATTCCTGCGTGACACCTTGAAAGCCAACCCTGGCCATGCTTGCTGTTCCTCTTCTGTTCCTCCTCCTTCTCCTATTAGCCCTCGACCTTAACCCTCGACCTGCCCAGTTGATGTTCTCCACCGTCATGTTGCACTGGTACCTATACCGGGATGGCCCGTCCGGGACGAAGAAGGCCCGGGATTGGGGGATTTGTTGGGGAGCCTAGTGGATTTCCTGACGTTCAGCAACATTTACATCCGTGGTTGCGGCTTTCGATGGGTTTTGTGCATTATAGCGATGTCAACCAAATGCTCCATTCTGTCTTTCTGATCCCGAGCTTGCAGGATATGGACTTCGAGACCTGGCAGCGGCAAAATCGTGGAATTGAGACCAACGGCACTAACGTGCCCGACCACGTGCAGCAGCAAGTCTATACGCTGGTGAACAAGGCCAGCTGGAGGAGAACTAGGTGCAGGAGATCCCCTTTCTGTTGTGTTTTAATTGAGATATGACGGCAGCGTAACGGCCATTTTGAGATTGTGGTATGTTCTTTGTTGGTGCTGAACGGTCCAGCCGAGCGCCCTGACAGCCAGGCTTCAGGATGCTTCACACGCAGTTAGGAGTTAAGTGCAAGGGCATCATCTGCCCTTGGAGGCACACCGCCAGACTACGAAGCTAGCCTGTGCCAATCCTCCTTCCCCCCGGAGATTTGTTGAGAAACTGTCATGCTGCGTAGTAATTAGCCTGAATCAGGATTGCAAAGCTAATCCTTCTCCACCCAAATCACGACGCCCTCCTCCAAAACCCTTCCACCCACAACTTCCTTCAACCCCACTGTGCCCACCACCTCACCCGCCTTTCTGGAAATTCCACCCTCCTTCCACCTCATCGCGTGATGCCCCATAATATAGTGATGTAGTATCAATAGTATTATCGTATTATAGGATTATAGTATGATGATAGTATAGTCTTTGGTACCCTAGTACCATAGTAATGTAGTATAGTATAATATATATATTGCTATATCAATATAGTATTACAGTACTGTAATATAGTACATTTTCTCGAGGCCTTCATCCCGGAGCTGGCCGTTGCCTCCGCCCAAAAGAAGACGGAGGGGCCAGATGCCCAGCCATCACAGCAGTTGCAAGAACTTGTAACTTACTGGTTCTTAGTGTAGGGTTTAGGGACTAAGGGAATATATATTATGAATTTAGGGTTTAGGGTTTAGGGAACTGAGGGAATATATTATGAATCTAGGGTTTAGGGTTACTGGGGGTTAGTCGGGAAAACGGCAGATAATCCCTATACGCTACGTATGGAGTATATACCATTATTCCTTACTAAGGGTCAGTAAGGTAAGTTTACCCAAGAGCACGCACACACGAGGATCGTCCCCTCATGGATTCCAGCATGACATCTACTCCAATCTTCCCGGCTGCTGTCAGCATCGCAAGCCGCAGTATGGATACTTTATATGTATGCTGACTCTTTGTCGTTCTCACCTTGATCATCGAGCATCATCCTTAATTACGAAAGCTTTCCCAAGCTTTCGTTTTGAACCCGGCTATGCTGATTGGTACTAAGGGGGTGTGGTTTCCGGAGCCGGGCCTCACCGAAGGAGGGTTTTTGGGGGATGGCCTGGTGGGCCCCGAAAGTGGCCATGAAAAGGGGTCTGTCCGATACGGTTCCGGGGTGCTGTTTCGGGTGTGATGGAGGTCATTTGAAACGCCAGAAGGCAGCTTTTTAGGCACGTGGGAAGCTGTTCTTGGGCACGCGGAGGCCGTTGCCGCTTCATGCAAAAAATGCACGCGCCAGTTTGCACTCTGCTGCTAAGCTTTCGTCCCCCCCTGCATGGGCGCAAGTCTTAACCTGACAATGATAGCCGGCAAAAACATTTGTTACGATTCTGGTCTGGGCGGGCGGGAGGGTGGGCGGGTCGCAATAAAGAACCGGGGGTTAGCGGCTGTACTGGTAGTACAAGAACTAGAAAGTCTATACAACCGGGATATTTTCCGGCGCAGAGAGTTATAATTCTTATACTCCATTATTATTGCTGATCGAACTTGCTATTGAGTTTTCGGACTCCGAACTTGCTGCGTTGTTTCGATCGGACACCTTTACGGAGAGTTTTAGTTCAACGTGGTGTAGTCGCCGCGTACTTGAAGAAACAATCGAAGTTCTGGGATTACCGCTACAAATCGCAGCTCTTCTCAGTCAGCGAAGGTTGAAAGTGAATTGATGGTCCTGCAGGCGTTGTTGCCGGCCTTAAGCGCCCAACTTTCTCAAGTGCTCTAGCTCTCGTGGTAAGGTCCTGGTTCGATCACCTACATCCCTGATCTTGTCTAGATCCAATTTGCTGCATCTTGCTGTGAGACGGGTTTAGAAGCATTTCCACCGAAATCCTTCGAAGCAACGGGCCATTCCTATCCGTTGCCCAGCATTTTGCAAACTTTCATGGCCAAAAAGGTGAAGAAATCCTAAACCCTAAACCCTAAGTATTAGTTTCCATTCTATTTTCACTTATCCCAATATAACACCCATATTTTCCCTATTAATATATAGTAGTTTCCATTTTATTTTCCATTATCCCAATATGATCCCCATATAAACGTATAATGTTACCCCAAGACCTCATCCTCAGAAGCCGGCCTGACATGCCAGGGGCCCAGACGAGGGAGGTGGCCCTGGGGAGGTTGCCCCAGAGAGGTGCAGCGAGATGCAGTTGCATGTGCTTTAGGAAGCAACACAATTTGCTTATAACTAGAATGCTAGATATATATATATCTATATATATATGCATATAGACATGTCTAGATTTTTTTCTTGGCCATTGAGGCGCTTTGGAGTACAGAGGGGGACCCTGCTTTGAGAAAGTCCCATTTATGGGGATGGCTCAGGCTTGCGGGTCCTTTTTGGGGGGACCTTGTAGCGGGGACTCTTGGATCTTTCGGGGTATATAGAAGCTCCGGAAGCGCAAAAGGGAACATGATGAGGACTGTAGGACTGCGGGGCTATGTAGCCCCAGTCGCCAATTTCCAGCCAGGATCATTTCCAGTTGGGGTTGTTTTGTAGTTTCCATGTGGGAAATTTCCTCTTTCTGGGTAGTAGAAGCCCATGATGATGGTGGTGATGTTGACATGTCTACAACGCGCTCTGTATCTCACATGGCGGAGTGGCGGATGCTCCAGAATGATCGCGCCGACAAACCTCGGTGGGAAAAAGTAGGATTGGGGCAGCAAAGCGCATTAAGCAAGAGCATGACGTCGCAAATTCGACAAAGCTGTAGTAGAAGAGGCCAGCAGCGCCGCTGTTGGCTCCTTTTGCAGCTGCTGAAGGCTGGGGCGGCACCTTGTGGGGAGTGACATGCTGGCGTGGCTGCTGTTAGCACATCGAAGGCTAGTTTTGTTGCTATGATACTAAAGAACAACTCTGACGTGACGCTTGTTCGAGAGCACGATAGCATAGCATACGCTGCTGCGATTCTCATATCATGTCTAGCTTGCCACAGCACACCAAGCAATGTGAAGCCCGAACCTTGCAGGTTGGGCGCAGATCGTGGGTGGCGGATTCCCGAAGCCCAGTGGTGCCTGGTCTACTTGGGGATGGGAGTTTAGGAGAGCGAGGGCTCATGTGGAGATGAGCTTAGAAGTGATGCCAACACGATCTCTGCAGCTGCTGAGATTCTCAATTTCATTCTTCCCCTCGGTTCATGCGCAATGGTGTGTTTTTGGAGCGAGGATCTGGGATCTGAGGGTGGAAGTGGGGATGGAAGCTTCCAGCGGTGCTAGAAGTTCAAGCAAAGAGGTATAAGTTATGGGGACACATGGTTTTTAGGGATAATCGAAAATCACATAGACCATGAAATGGAAGCTGCTGTGATTCTGACCCTGTCAAGCCTTGCCCTGAGTCCTATCCCAGGTGCTGCGGGGGTGCAGACGGTCACCTACTCGTCCCGGGGCTGCAACTTCTTGCTGCCCATGTCACAGACACATGCTACAAGGGCCCCGCAGCCTGATTTTCAGCATGTAGCTTCGAAGTATAGAGGGCAAAGGATAACGACTGCCAGATATTCCTCTTCGTATCTCTTCGTTAATAGCGCTTCCTTTTGCTGCACTCACTGGTTTGACGGGCTGCATAGGAAGAGGTATGAGAAGGACAGAGACGCAGAGGATTGGTGGAGCTATGCGGCTAAGCGCATGGCAAAGCATGTGGAAACCAACGGTCGGGAAGGAGGCTCCCCTCACAACTAATTAGTTTCTACATGCTTCTTCCGCAAACCTCTACCCACTTAACCCGTACGGTCCAGCAAGGCACGTCTCCAGTATCTTCAGTGAGGTCACGCAGGGCACTTCAGGCTCCGATGTGACATGTCATGTGGGCTTCAGGTTCAGGGCTTGAATCCAGTTTGGACTTTGGGTCTTGGCCTTTGCTACAGGCTGGGCAGACCAACACTTACAGTGATCAACATTGCTGCTCTTTAGCATCTATGAGAAGGTCAGGTTTGCTGTCGAGGGTTCGAAACGACCCCGCTACTTAGCCACTGACTGTGTCCATCCGATTTTGCCAGCCCCCTTACCCCGAAACCCCATCCTAAACGCTGAAGCAGGCATTGTACGCAGCCCTCTCGCTGCCAGCACAACGGACCTGGGCAAGCGCACGCCCACAGGTGTGGAGGCAGCGCTGATAAGACTAGAAGTTTCAGGCTTGAACGGGCTGCTCCTAGAGGTCTTACTGATTGTGAAGTTTTCATCCCAGAGCAATGCCTCAGGGATTGTTGACTCTAGCTCCCATGACTTGCGTGAGTTCCGGACTGGATCAGGCGGTGTCGGGCACCAGAATGGTGAAGCGGGACGACTTTGCATGGTTGTCCGTTGTCTACACGCCCAGTGCTGAGCAAAGCTTGATTTTTGAATCAGAAGCGGGCTTAGAAATTTTCCAGAGCTGCAGAAGTCCGCAAGCAATGTGGACCCTACTACAAACAATTTCAGGGTTGTGTTGTCACAGCGTTTTGCACATGTGAACTTTAGCACGCGCGTTGGCTGAAGCAGCGAGAAATACAAGCGCAAGTTGCTTTGAAAGGGTCGCTTCAGACTGTTCGCCGCTTTTGCAAGATCTGAGGCTTCATGAGGACCGAATGCATAAGAACAAGACGAGCAGTGAACCCTCAAGTTGAGATCCCTCCGTTCCAAAGCCCAGTGCCCCATTTTCACCCCCGCCCCGAATGCTCATGATGTTTTCTGAGCCGCACCAAAGGTTACTTTTCTTTGCGGCCCATCCTCAGACTGGGGCTCCGTGCCCCAAGCCGGACCTGAAAGAGCAGGAGTCAGGAAACTCGCTTGAGGCTTTAACGAAGGTCTGTGCTTTGGGTGACAATGGTGCCGTGAGGGTGTATCAGGTGACCAGGGTTGAAATTCAGCTTGGTGGAAGTTGATGGCAACATACGGCTAGCTAGGCCAGGAGGTTTTCTGTTCAGGATGTTGAGTTTGCCCGGAAGAGTGGAGGTACGCCT